CCGTCAGACACCCATTACAACTAATGGATCCATTATTATTGGCATAGAATTTTGACTCTTCACATTTTTCCCACACAGCCAAAACTACTTTAAGTGCGTAACTTAGCTTTTTTAAAAGTGCTTGGAACAAAGAGGTTACACAGATTAAATTTTAATGCTCTTATTCCATAGGCGCAACGTACGATTTCTCTTTTTGCCGTGGTAGTATGGGTCGTGGGACGCGGCCGATGCACCATCCAATGGATATAGATGAGGACCGGGGATCTTCAAATGAGTTTTATATTTCGAAAAAGCCGCGAAAACCAATTGAAATACGAGCGATTGACAGCAAATCAAAGGTTGCTGACTATGGCGTAAATGGTAGCGATGACGCCGAAGAAGACTCTGAGAACAGTAATTATCAAAGCACGGAGCGTCGTCAAAGCATTGGAAAGCGAAAACATGTCAAACTGTCAGACACAGTAGAGGGTCGAACAGTTTTCATAAGAAACGTATCGTTCGATGCCAATGAGGACCGGCTTCACCAGTTTTTGACTAGGTTTGGCAATCTTGAGTCTGTCAAAATTGTCAAAGACAAGCTCACTCAGCATCCTCGAGGAACAGCGTTTGCAAAGTTTGAATCGAAGGAGGATGCTGAAAACATCCTGCTTCAAGCATCCAAGCCTGAGGTATGCTTGTACACTATGAGCCAATTTGCTTCCTTTTTTAGTTGGTGCTTACTTTGAACTTTTGGGTTTCAGAATGCCCGTAGCTTTATCTTTGCCGGCAGGCAATTGACTTTGTCACTGGCTGTTAGCAGAGAGGAGGTTCTCAATTTGAAAAAAAATCGCTCTCATGAGGAAGTTTTAAATAACGCCAATGCGAGTGGAAGGAATCTTCATCTTGCGCGTATTGGGTGTAAGTTCGTTAATAAGCCTGCATTTTGTGGTTCCAATTGTCTACATTGTGTTTTTTAATTGATATCCAGTTTAGCATTAATTTATTGCCTACAATTTGGGAAAACCTTAGCACCATGCCCTTTCAAATGGGGAGGCTCTCTGGGTCACGGTACGTGATCAACTGTATCATTGTCTATCTTTCTTCGGTTTAATCTACTTCGTGGGATGTAGATATGGTTGTATTGCAGTATCTTAGATTCCTCTTGTAGCGTGAATTGCATCACGATGAACTGAACATTGAAGTTTGTCCCTGATGGAATTGGACTTCAGTACTTCATATGTTCTGAAATCTACTTCAAGATGACACGGCATTCTAACACTGTATTTTAACTCAATTTTTTTTTTCATTAAAATCTACGTATTATGGGTATCTCTCCGACCATTGCTTTTCCTTCCTCCACTGCAAATACAATTCGTTACTGACTTTGGCTTCTCCTCGAGTTTGTTACACATAATAATTTTTTCAGATTGATTTACGGTCTCGTAATATTCATTCCTTTCAATCTTCTCGACAACTGATTTCTAGAAAAACTTGATGCAAAGGTAGCTTTCAGCCACTCATGCACGTCCATTCATTGTGGTTTATTTGTAAATCCGAAGATCATTAATGAGCGATTGATAGCGAAATAGTCTTTGCGAAATGCCATGCCACTTACCCTTTTTGTAAGGAATAGTGAAGGAGAACTTGCTACTAAGTGCTTTTAATGTTAATTTTAATGGTAACTTTGACACAATCGGAATGTCTACATCATGAGTGCCTATGGTAGCCTTCCGTTTCGTGGATCTTCAACAGGCTGCG